TAAAAAAAGGCAGAATCATTCGTCACTGCCAAGTCAAGCCAGTACATGTGTTCCCTTACACTGTCTCTGAGTCTTTAAACGCTGTAAATCAGGGAACAATTCAAACATTATAGGTCAGGACAAGTTTATCTGACCTGAGAGCCGAAACACTGTGTGTGAGTCAACACGGAGAGTTCAGGAGGTAGAAAAACTGGAACTTGCCCACAGTAAGGTGGATGTTTACTTAAGCGGCATGCTTGTGGTCACAGGCTGTGACTTCTTGCTTCATAATGAGGCGACGAGCTGCGTTTTGAGCTGAAAAGTGTTTGTCTATGTGTTTGGAGGGGAAATGTCAGCGTGCCGCAGGGTTTGCTTGCGTACCTGGTCAGGCAACTTGTGAAAAGTCCAATGCGAGGCAGGGACGCAGCGTTCTGAGGTTAGCGGCGGCGTGAATGGAAACCTAGACCCACTCTTACAAGAAAACCTACATGAGGYTTTTTACAGCAAGGAAGGCCTGCCCATACAAACACATGTATTTGTTCTCTTCACTTTAATTCCTGTTGCTTTTACTAAAGACTGCTGAATTTGCTCCTGCAGCAGTTTTTTTTTTTTTTGCCGTGACTTGCAGTGGAAACACAAACATAAGTGTGTCAGAACRAGGTGCGAAAAAATGTTCATAAAAAAGATATGTCTACAGCCGAAAGAGATAAACCCAACTAACAAGAGTCTTTCAGAAACCAAATCCAGCTTCTTATACAGATAACCGGTCCTGAAACAGCCTCTTACACACATTTCATCAGTATCAAATTTGATCATCACAGAAGTTGCAGAACTCGTCAGAAGTTGTTTTCCAATCAGAGCTGACAGTGGAAATGTGTCATAATCAGCAGGTGTTTTTTTCTTTTTCTTTTTAGCAGAGTAGGCAAGTATTTGGATGTAAATCTGATCAGGGTTTTTCCACAAGAGTTTTGTTTTTGAAATTAAAGCAACTTTTTCATCCTAAACCTGATGGTTTTTATGACTAAATCTCACCTGGGTTAGAAAAACAGGATGTGGCTAGCAATTTTAGCACAATAGGTCAGMGGCCTGTTTACTGCGAAATGTGACATAAAGGTTGTACTTTTGTACTCTATCAACGCCTGCTGTCAAAAGACAAAAGCTGAATGACAATGTTTTTGGCTGCGTCTGTGTGTCAAACTTCAATAAAACTTTTGCATTTTAAGGGTTGTTTTTGTCATGTATGTCCACAACTGATTTACTTTTAGTATGTTTTATTTTATGGCAACAGACCTTAAACAAATAAAATAATTTTGAGCTACAATTTAATGTTGTAGCAGACTGCACCTCTACACTAACAGACTGCATGAGATGTTTGCTCAAATTTTGTCCTTAATATTTGCTGTCGTCTCAATTCTAGATGGCCGACACATATTAGYCAACACAAAACGGCTATAATTCTGTCAGTTTTTCAGATATCAAGCAACAGCTTCATGCGGCACATAGCTGCAAGTAMTTCAAACTGCAGTTTGAAACTCTGGCGTAAAGACAGCAGGTGATACACATTCCCATGACATAGGCAGTGCAGGCAAATTCTAAAGGCACATCTGTCCAGGAGGTGCCACAAATAGGAGATGCAATCACCATACTCTCACAAAAAATATATTTTATAGCTTTTTATGAGAGCATAGTTGATTTAGTCTGTAAAATTAATCACTGGTTACTGAAGTTTATGAAGGTAACATGTTCTGTGGGTTTCTTAGTTGTGTTTTTAATTCCAAAAATGCAGTAAAATGTTTTTAAAAATGGCTTGAAAATGCAGAGTTTTGAGTATCATTTACAGTTTTTCGAAGGGAGTATGTCCATGGATCCCTCCTAGAACTGCTTCACTCCACAGCTGCTTGTCAACATTAACAGGTGTTCCTCACTGCTGTCAACAAATGTTGACAGGTATGAGGTGGACTTCGTCAAATTAATTATATTGGTAACTGAAAATATGATATAAAAGAAAACTATTTAAGTTGGTATGTGAATATATGTAAATCGGCAGTGAGATTTAAAAACTTGCTCAACGGGCACCATCAAAAATCTTGCCCAGGGCACCAAATTGGCTASGGCCGACCCTGTTCYTATCAGAACTAGGCAAAATCAATAAACATTTATTCTCTATCTGTTTCCTGAGGCGCATATATTTTTGTCATGGCCAAAAAAATGTATATGTGCCACAGCCTTGTTGGCAGCAGCTTCAGTTTCATAGTGATGGTTAACACTGATGTGATGATGCTCCTTTCCCCCCACAACACTCAAGTCTTTGTGTCAGTGGTTAAACTAACCTGGGTGCCATAAAAGCTACACAGTGACACTGCTGCAGAGCTCAGACAGTTTGCAGCTCCTGTCAGTGTTGGATGTTTGGTTCTGTGATCAAGGTGATGCATGATGTTTTCGCCTTTACATGCTGCTGGGTGGGAGGTTTTGGTTTTACAAAGATAATTAGCATTCTAGTGGTCAAGATTGTTGTTTTTTTTTTTTCAAAAGAGATGAGGAAAAATATTTCATTTAGGCAAACAGTGATCAGGTGCTCTGTTAAGCAGGGAGTAAACCTGCGGGAGCTGATCTGGAAATCAGGGGCGAGTTTGCAAGAAGAAGACTGACAGACAGCATACAGATGGGAGGGTGGCGGGGGTATGAGTGGAACAAAAATTGTCGTCTCCTCTTGTGGCAGCAGGTTTCCACTTCCTCTGGAAGCCACAGCGGCACCACTGCTGCTTATTTATCTGATTCAGCAAATATAAAACTTGTTCATTCTCAATTTAATGAAGTTTGTTACAGCTGAAGTCTAAGATGATGCCATAACTGAYGCAAGATAACTCAAACGTTATCAAATGAAACACATTTAAAGGTGACTTGAGCTGAATTAAGATTTTTACAGCTAAAAAAATATATTTGATTTTTAGTAGCTATATTTGTAATTTGTGCAGATTTGGATATATTTATTGTTACTTTCACATTTAACAAAAGTTGCAGAAGTTCCACGCAGACATCACATAAAAACATAAATTTCACAGTTCACAATGTTCTTGTCCATGTGACCAAAATACAATACTTTACTGGTGAATAAATTATTTTCAATAAATCACAACAGTCAAGATAAAAATAATTTTATGCTTTTGGATAACCTTTAGTGAAACTTGTTTTAGGATTTCATGATCTTTGTCCATACTACCCCCCAGTAGTTATCCAGTAGTTACATTTTAATTGTGACAAATGTTAACTACAGAGCTACATTCTCACTGGATACTGTGTGTTTGTTTACAGCACACTTGTGTATTTACTGTAGATGACTCAGAGGTTTGTGGGTTTTTCTGGGTTGTTCGGGTCGAGCGTACAGAAATGAGGGCGTCGGTCTCTTTCTGGAGCAAGCTGTAAAATGTCAACAGGGAGAGAGTTTGCACTAAAGATGAGCACAAACAAACTTTGGCTGCAAAACTGAATTCAGAGAGGATCAGAGAGCAAAAATCATGAAATGTGTGTGTCCGTCTGCACCTCYAGAGGATTGACGGAGCTCTTCTTTMCAGACAAAAATGAGGAAAGAGGACAAGAGTAGGCCCGGCCAGGCCTAAAAAACTGTCTACGGCTAATAAACAGGTTCACCTATTGTGGCTGTGCTACAGTATCTTTGTTATTTTGCATGAATTCAAATGAGGACAAWCTGTCTTTGTGACAAACAGCTGTAGCTACTAACTAGCTACAGATTAAAATAGGCTCATTGTCAAGTTGTTGGTTATGTGTTGACACAACACTGGCTCTTCTGTTGAGTTTACGTGTTTTTTGAAGCTTGAAGGATGTACTTGTCATGGCTTTACATTCATTTGAAAAAGGTGTATTTTAATGATGACCGTTCTGTGTCTTCAAAATCTCAGCAGTGATGGAATGCKTAAAGAAATGACTCTGTAGGCATAAACAGCGAGGTTTGATCAGAATAACAGAGCCTGGACCAAATCAAGAGACTTCGGCCCAATTCAGTGAAGATCTCCGCAGAACTTTCTGGGTCACCCCTTCTTATAACCTTCGTCCACACCCAGATGTAAACAAAGCAGAATCAACCTACATGCAACTCCTTCTAYGGTAAAGGAGTTTGCTCCTGAAATGTATTTTAAGACACACAAACATGTTTACAACAAGTGAGGTAAGGATTAGCACATTTTYCCCATCCTTATRAGGAATTGCTGAGATGTTAATTTAAGAACAAACAACTYCTTGATTGACAGGCCTCATCACAATTCTGTAGGATGACTCCATACACCTCAAACATCATTTGTTTGAAAAAGATCRGGTTTGACAGAAAATGAGTGTGACGCAGCAAAGACCTTCATTTCTGGCTCTTTGGAAGCAAAATAGAACAAAATTAGGAAAAGCCTCCAGCTTTTAGCCCAGTGTTGTTTTTAAAATACAAAACAATATATTTACTTATTATTTTCTTCTCTTTCACCAGAAGACACTTTGCTTTCAGTCACCCACCAGCTGTTTTTGACCTTCTGGGAGCATCAGAGCAGAACTTTTAGGGGGAGAAAGCAGTCCACGCAGCCACAAGAGGTCTCTGCGGCTCAAAGCTGCTGGCAGGATGTGCGTTTTGAATCTGCTGAAGCAGTCTGACACATTCTGACATTTAAACATGGGAAAGGTTAAAGGTCACTGCTGCAACTTTGTAACTCCACACCTGTCTCCACCTGAGCCGCAGTSAGGTTTATACTAGAAACAATATGCCTCTATGCAGCAAACACGTATCTGTCAACACGGTACACAGGTGCTGTTTGTGSCCGTTCTCTTTAAACAGCGCAGACCCTTTATGGATTTTACGACCACCGTGCCATTAATCTTCTCCAGACAACCAAAGCACGTGGGTTGAAACCCTTCAGCTATAGCCTACTTTATTTAACCTCTGAGCTTTGATAGGTGAAAAATTCCCCCACGCTTACTGTAAACCACTCCCGCTCCTGGATTCGGGGCGTGCGTCAGGAGCGCAGGCAGGTGTGATTGTATCCAGCAGCTCGGAGGTGGAAATAGAAGGGACGGGGAATCAAATTTGGGTCAGTTTGAGCAACAGGACTGCGTTGGTGGTTGCCAGGTGAGTTTTGAGTCTGATCTGTCCGGAAGGGACTGAGAAGGAAAGCAAGGACGCACGAAGACACAAGCGTTTGGAAAAGTTACGCAGCGCAAACTGGAGATTTTTCCACTGCGCTTCATCAGATCTGTTTCAAAGTGAGGTCCAGCTGAAGACCACTCATCTGTAGCCATGAAGAAAACTACATACCCAGGTAAGGGCGTTTGGTGACAGCGTGAAAAGCGTGCGTAAACTTTGTTTTAAGAGGATTCACTTAATTTCAGGTAAATCTTGAAATTCAGCCCACATTCTTCATCACTGCTCCTCTTCTTTTGTGAACTTTTATAACCAAATGTGAATTTCCCCTTTGCAAAAAAATAAATACATGAAAAGGGGGTCCACGCAAAGWTTTGTGGGTGTGGTGTTTGATCGGTTTCTGACAGGTTTGAACTCTGCGCACACACGGACTGTGACAACACGACAGGAAGGTGGCGCAGGAAACTAAGCTCGTTTTTTTTTTTCCACAGCTGTCTGTCTGTTATGCACAGGAAAAAAAAGAAAGACAGGAGGAAATTTAAACGTGACACATAAAAACGAAATTGGCGCAGTTTGTGTGGGATTTCCCCTACATCTAATCTAACGAGATTAGTGATGCAGTTTATTTTCATACTGGCTGGATCTGATATTGGCTGCTGTGAGATTATATCTAACAACACATGGAGGTGAAGACTCAGCAGATATGGGCTTCCTCCAGAGTTGAACTAAGGTCTTATTAACAGTACAATCAGATTTAAACACAACTCTCAACAATTAAAAGGACATTATGTTCGGAATGAAAAACCAGTTGGATTTGCTGTAAATTTCAATATGAAATCAGTTTTACGAAACCAATTTTTCATGGGATAAAATATTAAAGGGATAGTTCAGTCTTTTGAAGCTAATGTCAATAAATTTTTGTGCAAATTTGAAGATTAATTTTGAGTGTCTTGATTAGTTAATGGGTTTATTTACTTTATTATTTATGGTCACTCATTTTGGACCTGTTGTGGTAAAACAGGCCCAAACCATGATGCTACCACCTGCTTCAACGATGGTTATTACATTCCAATGGGAAGGTTTTTTTTTTCATGTTTACTATTATTATTCCATCTTGTTCTGTGTTAAATTCATGAAAAGAAAAAAGGAAAGACTAAACCCTTATGCACCACCTCATCCTTTATCTCAATTTGTCTCCTACATTTACCAAATTTCACCTCCAATTTTCCCTTTCTTCTTAAAGCTCACTATCACCTTTCATCTCCCTCAGACCTCCCCGACCGCTTCCCCTCCTTTTTTTCTGTTTCTCCAAGCTACGACTCAGTCCAGGCCCGTTCGGTGCCGGCTTTCCCCGGCTCCTCTTTCCAGAGTCTTTGTGCGATGGAGCGTCTGACGGTTTTCCATCGGAGCCAGGCACATGTTGGGTCATGCTGCCTCTCCTCCTCCTCCGCCTCGCTCTGTGTTTGCTTCGTGTGCGGAGCCGTCTCATTCCTTGTCAGAGCTTCCACTTGGTGGAAAAGTCTAACAACAAAGTGTGTGTGCAGTCTGTTGTGAGGAAGTGTTGTGAAAGGTCTGTTCTCCGAAATGCACAGAGCTGTTTGGACAAGCAACAGGGACGTGAAAGGGTGACTTTCATGGTAGACTTTGGCACGATCGTGTGTGTGTTTGTATGTGTGTGTGTTTTGGGTGCAAATAACTTGACAGCAACACACATAAGCAGGCAGATTGTGTACTTGGCATGTGTTTGGATTATTTTAGACCTTATTAAAAAAAGTGAGTACCGTAGTTGAGAGTGGTTATATTGTGTAATTCTGGCTGAATTGTGCTCCTGGAGCCGTGCTCTGCCTTGCACACCACTCCCTGAAGTTGCCTGGATCAATGAGTAACTCACATGAGCCCTCTCTAACTCACAAACCTACTCAGAGTCATTATTTCCTGAGTACACACACCTCTTGGTATGTGCTTTTATGTCCTGCTCACAAAAACACACCTAACCCCGCTCGTATATGCCTGTGTGACAGATACCCGACTCTGTGCTGCGTTATGGCTGTTTGCCCTATTTATCCTGCAGACGGAGAAAGCCTTTGATTCAGAGCCTAAAGCAATTGTTAGATGGCAACTTGAAAGTTGAGCTATAAACTGTGTTGAGACATACAGTACTCGCCCTGTCATACAGCAGAGCATGCCGAAGWTGGTCTAAACCCCCAATTTGAAAGCTCGGAGCCTGTGAATAAATAGACTAATATAAGGTATTGGAACATGTGGACACACTCTAAAAATGAAGTGTTGTATTTACTTAACCATGTTATGTTACCTGGTTCCACTTAACTGAGTTGAGTAAATTCAAAGCAATATACTCGTTCTTTGGCTAAAAAACTGGTAAATTGCTTTAAATTTACTCAACTCAGTTAAGTGGAACCAGGTAACATAACATGGTTAAGTAAATACAACACTTCATTTTTTACAGTTCATGCATGCACTTTACTGTGGTTTCATGTGAAACTGAGGTGTTTAAAATAAAAAAAAAACAGCTTTAAAGGTACTCATTGCAAAGCCATAAAGACTGGCCAAAAAGCACAAAAAGCAATGCCTGGTTCACATGGTAAAATTTTCAAATTGTAGTTTGATTTTCAAAGACTGAGAGACCTCACATGTGATGATAAAAAAAGTATAGGTTTAGTCCTAGTGTTGTGGTGTACAGACAACACACCACACACCAGCAGATTTTACTCACCAACATTCAAACGTCAGACAGGAAATCTTGCGAGACCTCTCGAGATCAAACGTGAGTTCAGGGTAAGTAAACATGACCATCGAAGAAGGAGCTATGGCGACAGTTTGTGGACTACTTTTAACAGAGAACGAACAAAAAGACGTCTCTGACGTCCACTGGACTTTCTGGTGCACCATGGCCGTTGTTTCACCTGGCTTTCTGATAGGCTACAGGTCACATTCAACAGGCTGTGAGCTCGTTTGTCCTCAGGGAATACCACACATGCTGGTATATTTGGCCAACTCAGTCCAACATGTTGTTGATTTGAGATCATTGTGGTCCCAACATGCTTCCAAGTTGACTATAACGTTCAACACACCACACACAGCAGGATTATCTCCTAAGATTATCTTTAGAGACATCACGATCTGGGCTTCTTCAAGATTGTCAGAGGGCAAAACAAGGCCAAAATTGGGCATGATTTGTGTGAACCAGGCAAAAGAAACAAAATTCATAGAAAACCTTTTTTTAAATTGAAGTAGTGTCCTTATATTATTGTGTGAGTTAGTTTACCAAGAAGCCAGCTCTGGGCCAACCATCGTCTGGCTCGTCCAGTCTAATCGGCAACTTAAAAGCAGCTTAAAAACACATCATGATCTGGATATAAATTAGAATTGAAATGATAAACATCAATCCATCCATATGCTTTTTGTTCAGTGAACCGGGCCCATCTTATAAGCATCGCATGAGTTTGAGTTGTGAGTAAAAACCCAGGAACTCAGAAAAAAATAAACAGACCAACAAAAATCCCCAGAGACATGCACAAACTGACATAGTAATCATCAGATCTGTGGTAATCTCAGAAGTAGATTTGTTTTGGTCTGGCTGCACGATGTGGTCAAAAGATAACTTTGTGTAGTCCACCCCCCATAAGCTTCCTTGTCTCTTTTCTTTCACCTCAACCTGCAACCTGCTTTAAACTAATTGCAGCGATTTATAATCGCTTACCAAAACCCCAAGCACTAACCACAAACACACTATGAGAAACCAAATCTAAACTGTAGAGGGTGTAATGTTATTTAAAGAGCATTACATGGGGTTTCAGGTGAAAGTGACAAAAAACACAATAAAACTGCTGAATCTAAGTGGCGTTCAGGGTTCAGTTTTTTTCAGTTAATTTCTCAATTTCTCACCTGATTAAATATTTCAGAACCAAAGCAGGCAGATTTGTCTGTTTCTGATTTATTAATCAGTCATGCCAACATTACTCTAGCTCTGCACCGGCATGTGATCTGCAACGTGGAGTTCCCCTGTCTGCAGGAAACCCACGGTCAATTCTCCTCTCCTCGTGTGGAGCTGGCTCTCAAGTGTCCACTTTGCTTTCTGTTTATTATCCGCAGCCAAGAATGCAAGCTCTGTGATGCCGGCCGCCGCTGCCGCTGCTGCTGGGGGTGTCAACTGATACAACAGCCTGTTTGTACTGTACTTTGCGCCCCGAGGCCAGGAGCGAGCCCATAAAAACCAGATAATGGCAGGCTGAGAAAGTCTCTGATGCACGCTGGCAGTGTGTGCACTGACATCCAGACGTGGGTATTAGAGTGATGAAGAGCAGATGCATGTGTGCCTGCAGTAGCCGTGTCATCTGATTAACTCGTACACTTGTTGAAACATTTATTAGAGGACAAATGAAAGGAGCTGGTTGTTTCGCGGGGTCGAGAGCCATGGGCCCGCGCAGCGAAACGTTAACTCATCTGTTTGGCAGGAACGAGTGTTTCCTGTCACGACTTGAGTAAATATTTTAATGCACTCGGTTTAAGTGTTAGTGATTCACTTCGGTCCAAGTGACAAAAGCCTGCTGAATTAGCTCGATGATGCACGTGAGCGACGTGCACACCCTGCTGCTGTCAGTAAAGTAAAAACTTTTAATCTTAGTGCAAAGAAATCCCTTCATCACTGGGCGGGAATCTAAATTATTAAGCTAACCACGGCATTATTGATCAAATGTAAGCTTAAACATTACTGCCAGCCACAGAGGGGTGAGTAATAATGTATTCACGTGTGCTTGTTTCTTTGTCTGTTAGCAAAATATTCCCTACAACTAATTAATCTTTGGGGTTGGCACAATTGAAAATGGCTGCCACAATAAATCAGCCCAGTCAGTTTTACAAACATTGTGCTAAACATTGGTGTGGTAGTAGCACATGGAGCGCCAAGTGTAAAATAAAACACATTTTCATTATTTAGTTCAAAAGAAATAAGAAAAAAAGAGTTAGAGAGCGAGACAGGGAGTTATTGAGGAGTATACAGAAGCAGCTCAAAGTCAAGATCTGAGACAACTAATAGGTTTATAGAGAGAGGCTGTAGAGTAAACTGCAGAGGAACAATATCAGAGATGTGAGGTCAGGGATGAAGAAGATCACAGGTTTCAAGCAAAATGAGAATCAGATGGATGGAAGTCTGGACAG